TAAGTTACAATATTGCTTAAAAATGTCTAATTGGTTTAAGTAGATATTGAGATATCTTTTATGATAGCTTTCATTATAAGTTAAAAATATGTGGTAAATTTTTACTTTACCTTTTTGAAACATACATATTTATTATTTGTAACTAAAACATACATTCATATATGCAAACACATACATATACTCAACAATATAATATTTTGAAGCAACTTATTAGTAAATATGGGTCTAAGGATTTATTTAAACCCCAAGACCATGCTAAACCTACACTATCAAAGTATAAGCAAATAGTCATTCCTTACCTACCTTGTAATTACTTCCATCACTCTAGCAATTTCATATTCCAAAAGAAAAGACATGCATATTGTCAAAGATATGCCTAAATCTATTGATAAAAAGTGCCCCAAGACTCATGCCAAGAAAGAATTACTAGTGCCATTTAGTGAAGAGCAGTTGAAAAATAAATTCAAGGGGTTTGACACCATAAAAGATGGCTGCTTTAGTGAGAAAGAGCTTGAAGATGCTTTCAACAACTTAGGTTTGTGTGCTCCTCGCTAATGAGCATACCTTTTTCCATATTTCCTTTTCTTTGTATTTTCTAGTTGAAGAATTAGCTTTAGTTCCAAAAGCTAGCTTTTCCATTTTATGATAAAATTGAACATGTCAAGCATGTATTCAGTGATTCTCAAACAAAATGAAAGAAATAAAAAAAAAGAAAAAAAACTTGGTTTGGTTGATTCTTAAGCAATAAGTGAGGCTAGATCAATGACAAGAAGGCTCAATTAATGCCTATGTAGGCTGGTTGGGTGGCAATGATGTTGGGGGATCAGTTTAGGGCAAAAGCAATGTTGAAGGGTGAGTAGGGAGAGAGAAATGACTAGGGTTTTGTAGGGGTGCTTGATAGAGCTTCTAGAGGGGAGCTCGATAGGGCTCCCAATATATTAAATTTATCGATGAAATACTTCATCAATAATTAAAAACCCTAGAGGATATTATTGATGAAAATCCCATCAGCAATTTAGTCGGTAAATTTACAAATTTCTAAAACAACATTACCAATTATAGTTTCATCAAAAACTCCATTTTTATTGTAAATACATTATCAATAGATATTCTAGTCAAGAATTTGATCACTAAATTTTGCCAACTATTATCAATACTGGTGGACAGGACTGGTTCGCAATCTTTGTGCCTTCCTCGATTCAGTATGCACCATCAAATTTCCAACCACTTTCAAACAAAATGATTTCCATTGATAAATTCTATAGGTAATATGTCGGTATTTTGTTAGAGTTTTTCACAATACATTTGGTCTAAAATCGATTTGTAATCTGTTGGTAGTTTCTAATGAAATTTTACTGACTGAATCATTTTTGTCTATAAAACCCTTTTTTTTTTGTGAAATGTTATTAATCAAACTTCAAAATTTCAAAAGCTTATCTATTAATCTATTTTAATTTTATCTTATGCCAATAACATATGAACACCTTCCCCACCCCATTTTTTTTTTTGTATAATACCATGAATTAAACGATTCCAACAAATATTTAATCAATAGAAGCATTAATTAAAAGGGAAACATTCTAAGTGTTGAAGAAAACTAGTTAAAATATTAGTGAGTGTCAAATGTCACATATATATAAAAGATTTTTCTTTAGATTTGAATGATAACATCTAGATTAAATAAAAAATATATTCTCATAAACATGAAAGTAATAAATAATAAATTTATGAACATTTCTTTATTGAAGATTTCGCTAGTAAATACTTATAGGTTACTCCATAAGATTAGTTAAAGTACTATTTATAATAAAGTTTGGTTAACGCATGCTTATACATAATTAAGATTGATAAAACATTATTTGAAGAAAAAAATTACTGTTAATGTATTATTTTCACCAAATTCAAGAGTAGGTTAGGGTTTTGCTAACATTTTTCCTTTATAATTGTAGAAGGTTTTCCTAGTAAGGAAAGAGGATGGTTCGAACAAGTAAAGCAAAATGCTTGTAGCAAAAAAGTAAAGCAAGATGCACTAGAGGTAGCAAAAAGGAAGATTGGAACAATCCTTGAAAGATTAGGTCCTTAATTTGTGGCAAGGGTGAGGAATACAAATCAAGAATAGGTGAAGGAGGTAGTGGAGCACAACAAAAAATAGGATGGAAATAGTTAAGTAAAGAGAGTATTTAGGAAGAGCTTAAAGAGTATTTTGAAAGAGTAAGCTGATCAATTTCTAATTTTCTCTTTCCTGAATTACCAAACTCCTATGTTTATATTTAGTAAGAAAGCTTTCTTAGGAGTAGTTGCTAAAAATTGCTTATTGGATAAATGGGAAGATTACCTTTTAGGGAGCACACTTTTTTTATGGAAGAAAATGTTTGTGATGAGAAGAGCACGTTCACTACGAAAATAACTATTTAGTGGTTGTTATGGGAAGAGCACAAATTGGGTAGTGCACAAAAGTTTTGGGTAGTGGAGCTCAATCAAGGACCGCTCAATGATTTCAAAGATTTAGAGCAAAATATTCAAATGAAGCCTTTTTTATTAAAATTAAGAAAAAAAATTTAAGCTATGAATAACCAAATTCATATTTTAGATTTGACATATTCAAATATTTATTAGGAAGTATTAAAAATATTTAACTATTATAATTATTTTATATTTTTAAAATGGTTAATATAAAATCAACAATTTAAATTTCTAATTCAAATAAATTAACTATCATATAAAATAAAGATAATATAACAATATAATATAAACTCTAAATTAAAGTAAAAAAGTTTACAAATATTAGAATAATAGTATTTAATTGTTGAATCATAAATGAAGCTTATGGCTTTATAAAGATAATAGCATAACATACTTCTTGCATATTCTTTAGAGGAAAATTAAAGTTAAAGAAAGAAAGAGTAAATGAGAGAAGAAAAATTTAAAAGTAGATATTATAAAGTGAAAAAAAATTGATTTTATATATAGAAAATAAAATAGCTGTTGAAAATTATTAAATACATCTTACGATTAGTTGATTGAAAATAAAAAAAAATAGGTGAGAAAAAACAATAGTTGAAGATTATTAAATACATATTACTATTAGTTGATTAGAAATAAGAAAAATAATTGAGAATTAATAGTATTTTAAGAATTTGGAAGTGATAAAAAATTGAGATTTATTAGGCACATAATTGAAAAAGTGAGAAAATATTTTATTTTATTAAATATTGTTGACGTTTAGTCTTTTATATATTTTTAATAAGAAATTAGATAATTAGTTCAAAATTAATAAGGAAGTGGAAGTGAAAGAAAATAAATATTTATTAGACATAGAGAATAGGTACATATTTTATTAATTATCTTAATTTTTATATATTTTTAATATAATTAATTTTATTATTATTATTATTATTATAAAAATGTGGAGCTTCTCTAAATTTAAGACTTAAAGCCTTAGCTTAGGTGGCCTTACCCAATGGTCAACTCTAAGTTCAATTACACTTAATAATATGTTACGTGTTGTCGTGTTCTTTTAAGAAAAAGAGAAAAGGTAAAGCATGTATATTTCAAAAAAAAATTAAAAAAAAACCTCTTAATTATTTTTATATTTGACCCATTAAATAAAACTCTTTAAAACTTCTTAAAAGTAAAAATAACCCTAGATGTTTTGAGATACTTTTAATGCTTTCTATGTGACATAATTGTTTTTTTCTCATTTTATAAAACAACACTTAAAAAGAATAATAATAATAAGTTAACCCGATAAAGCCAATGTAACAGTAATATTATGTCTTAAATATAATCATTAACAGTTAAAATGATAATTTTCAATGCATTAAAAGAAAATATTACTTTATATATAAAATTTTAAAGAATCATCTTATGACATTCGATTGTAAATCCTAATTTTTTATAATAATTTTTTTTAAAATAACTAAATAAGGTATTTTGGAGAGGCAATTGTTAAAAAGATCCGAAAGAAAACTCCTCTTTTCCCACCTCCCAACTGTCGTGTAATAAATTGCTTCCCCAAGCAAATTGAATAGTGATTATTCATAATTTCTGTGTCCAAGGAAAGTTGCCATCAACCAATGAAGAAAAAGAACATTAATAAAAGAAACTGATTTTTCATATTGTCAGTCTTAGTACAAGCCTAGGGCAAAGTCAAGCAAAAACCATTAATATCTTCCAGAATGATGTCAGAGTTGAAACGTTGGAACTTTGGGAATTACTAGACTAATAATAATTTGCAGCAGCTTAATTTGAAATTTTGATGTATGTAGTTTGAAATTTCCTTTACTTTCAATATGTCCTTTCTGTTTCTCCATATTCATGTCATTTTTGTTTTTTCATTGCAAGAATTTCAATGGTAACGACTAAAGAGGAAATTAAAAAAAAAAATAATTTAGGGTGTGCTTAGTAAAGGCGAAAATGATTTTTTAAAAATATTTTCAGTTATTTTGAGGGTTTGATAAAGATAAAAAATAATTTAAAAATAAAAAATTTTATGGATCAATGAAAAATAACCCATTGGCATCGTAAATAATTGTGTAGATTTTCATCTAATTAATTTTATATTGATTTATAAATTTTTTCTATTTGAATATAATTATGATTGTAATGGTATACATAATTTCGAGATTTAAAAACAGCACTTTAAGTTGGAAAATATGTATACATATAATTGGGTCAAATAGATAAGTTCGATATTCATACATTAATTGTTAATAAAGATAACAATTACCAAGAAAAACTATATTATTTTGAAAAAAATTTATAATTAACATGTATAATTAATCGTATATGATGTTTATAACTTTGCTATACCTTTAGCTTTTTCATAGGCATTGAAAGTGAAAGTTCAACATCTTTTTAAGTTATTCAAACATTTAAAAAAGATGAAACATTTTAAATGGAAGAGAAATACTTTTCTAAAATAATCCAAGAGTCTTAACGCATATGCGACAGAAAGCAAATTATAACAGAAATGTTGGTGATTTAAATTAAAATAAAACTGCTAGTGTAGAGCATATATGATATTTCTTAAAATTTCAATATAGTTCTTTCATTTTTTTTTTTGTTTTTTGGCTAATTAAAACCATAAACTTAATCATATCCGATCTTCAGCAACAATTAGTTAATTGTAACTGATCTAAATTCTTTTAAGTAGAGTAAGCAAGTGGGAGATATCCCCAGAGATTAGGCCATACCAACATTTAGTTGGAATAGTAAGCCTTATGCTAGCTGTAGCTCAAAGGCCGGCTGACCGGAGGTTCTAGCTCTCGTGAGCATTAGCATTTTTTCCTGCATCCACAAGAATGCACTTCATATTATCAACCAGCTCCTGCATTTGCTCCCTTGAATGCAATGGCGAAGGATAAATGCACACACAATCCAGCCGCCCGTCACGTATAGTGTCGAAAATCGCGATGGACGGGGCGATGCCATGAGCAGAAGCGCAGCCCATGTAGTCCTCTAGGCCAACTTGTGTTTGCTGGTCGTTAGACGCGTCAACCACGGTGTCCTCAAACACCGATATCAAAGATGTGCGCAAGGCTGATGATGAGGTCAAGCCAGGGTTCTCCATGGCCCTGCACATCAAGAAATTCAGGTCTGCCATGTCTGAAAAATGCCTGTTGCAGCTCTTATAGTTTGTAAATGCTGTGTACATTTTCTTGGCTAGCTCCCAAAGCTTCTCTGCCCCTTTAATGACATGTGTGTTTAGGATAGCTGAGTGATAAAATCCTACAAAAGTAAAAGGTCAGCGTCAAGAATTAAAATTGCTTTCCTGAATTGGTATGAAATTTAAGACATGCAACTTTGGTTGGGTGTTAGGTGTTTATCTTCTTGTAATGAAGAAGTTGAACCACTAAAGATAGCAGCATTGCCTTTCTATTTATATTCTGTTGATAACCAGCGTTATTGGTTTTCTATCAAACAGATAAGGAAAAATGGTGGTACTGGTAGGGTCAGACATGAATTGTCATCTGATCCATTCTCCAGAAATATAGCAGGCCAACCTCTACCGCATATAATTAATTACGGACTGGAATTAATAAAAAAAAAATACGAAAGTCATTAAAAAACGAGGAAGTACACAATGGAGATCTTATTCCCAAGTCATCAAATGAAAATTTGATGTGACAAGTTAAATTCATTTCAAATTAATTAAAAGAACCAAATTGTGTTTTAAAGGTATTAAGTTTTTGTGAATGAAATTTTATAAAGCTTACCAAAATGGTGATTGGAGAGAGGAGGTTCAAGAATTGAGCGGCAATCGGTGAGAGTTACAATCCCATACTTCTTCCTTTGATGATCTGAACGGCAGTTAGAAGTGTGGGCAGCAATCAGCCCTGCAGCTCCTAACGCCCCACACAACTTTATCCCTCTTGCCTTGCAACCCTGAAAATTCGAATAATTAGGTCCCTTACAAGGCAAAAGTATAATTTGCACGCTTCAAATAATTACTTACAGCCAAGATCCTCTCAGTTTCATCAGGGCTGATCAGCAACCTCACCATTTGACTGGATCTGGGAGATTTTGCATCTTTGAACTTCAAATTTGACAGCCTTAAAGAATTAACAGAGTAGCCTAGCATGTCCACTCCGCGTGCCCAAAGAGCCTTCTTAGCCTTCCCCTTGGGAATAAGGTCTTCAATCGCCAAGCTTACCTCTCCTTTGTTCATCATTTCCTTTTGACCCTGCGTCCCTGTCTCCTCTTCTTCAGTGCCCATTAACGTCAACAGTTCTCGCAGCAACGACACTGCCGTGGTCCGGTCACATGCGGAGGCATGTAGGCGGAGCACCAACACCCACCTTGCACCAGGCAAAGCGTAAATACTAGCAAAGAACATATCATTTTTGGTGCTAAACGAAGGGTTATTAGGATGATGACAAGCACTTGTCCAAGCATTTTGGTTAAGTTCATGTTCAAGAATCAATTGCAGGGGTGAGATGTTTTGGTTTTCTTGGTTATAAAGATTTTCAAGGATGCTACACGTTGTAGAATGGTTAAAGGACTTGACTTGAACGAAAGGAGAAGAAGACGTAACAAAGGAGAAAGTACTTGCATTAGGATCGTAATGAAGCCTAGACCTAAGAATTGGATGGGAATTTTGTAGCTTGTGAAGAGCAGTTCGGAGACGTGGAACATCCGGGTGTTTGGATGTAAGTACGGCCAAGACGGCTATGCCAGTGCCACCGAGCACCGCACGGCACCAGTTGTGCTCGGTGCTGCCAACCTCTCGGCCCTTGGGATAGAGCGTTTGTGAGTGGCTAGACATGTAGTAATGGTAGCACAGCTGTAGCAGCCAATAATAATAATGATGGCGGTGTGAGTGGGAAACTGCTGCTTGTGCTGAGTTTCGGGGGTGCTTTGAAGTGGGGAAATATATGTATATATTCCATGGAGAGTAGCAATTAAATGAATCTTCCTATCCCTCGTCCGTCTCATTAATGCTGCGATGTGATTTTCTTTTCAAATAAAGTTGACTACTTCATGTTTTATCTTTTTAATTATCAACTTTAATTTTTTCCAAAACATTCTGACCATTTTCTTTTATATTTTAGTGAATTTGATGACCAAAAGAATGTTAGTTAGACCAACGGGCTATTGTTTCAAATTCTCTCAAAGTCTTTAAACCTACTTTCTTCATTTTTATATTAGATTTTCTATAGTTACATGAGAATTTATTGATTTCTTTTATTATTTGTAATAGTAATTAATTTTGTTATATATGTTGAGATTTATTTGACATCGATATATAATTTTTACTCTTATATAATTTCATCGAAAGAAATTACATGTAACACTTTAAGTAAATTGTTCTCAATGTTACTTAATTTATGACACCGTGTTATACCTGATATTCCATACAAATTAATTAAAACTAGTATATTAACAAATTAAATTACCTTATAATTTATTATTCTCAATTTAATTATATGTTAGTGCACTCAGTGTATGACATTTTTATGAATGACAGTATCAGACGGTATGTATCATTATTAATTAACACTAATACAACATTAGATTTTTCTTTTTATTAAGATAAAAAGTTAAAAGACATGGTTATATACTTAATAGAATGGATGGAGTAGTTGTTATTTAGACCTTTTTTTAATCCCCCTTAAGCGTTTTTGTTTTGGAAGAAATTAATTCGAGAACGGGTTAATCTGTCTTAACTAATCAACCACACTTCATTTATTGTACTGTCATTTCAAGTTCGGCACGGTAGTTGCAATTTTTATTAGCTCTAAAAAACTAATCAATTAACAGAGTAACACGTAAACAAGGAACAGACAAAAAAATTTAATGGCATTAAAAATAATTACAATTTGACTTCATGGGCCGGTGCCTCTCCTTTTTAATTTTTCTTTTATTATATTTGTTTCAGGCGCGGGCATATATAAAGATATGTATAAACTTACAACCTTTCTTTAAATTTAGGATTATTATTCTATGTTCTGCCCATAAAATTTTTAAACTTTACGATAGAATTAAATCATTATCATATGGTTGGTGAAAATTTATATTTCAACAGTAATGGATTAAATAATTCTCTTATAAATAATAAATATCACTTAAGTAAAAAGGGGAATTCAAAATTTCTTCCTTTTGCCTCAACTGCCACTTAATTTGTTGCAGTGGGTTCAATATTTTTTCAGGTAAACAAAGAGACGGACTTACGCTTGGCTAACTGAAAGTCTTACACAATATGGTTAGAGGAGAACTATAAATTCAGGTTAAAAACGATAAAAGAAGTGGGAAAAGTCTCCATTGAGCCATCTACAGTATGGATGAGGAAACAACGAGTTTCAGATGAGTTTTTTTAATCCAACCTAAAATCTTTACCATAACTAAGCATGATCTAATGGCGTGAGGTTATTAATGATTTTGAATCATCTATTCATCCTGATATGTATATATAACACAAAGCACTCTGATTGGTAGATTTGTATTGGTATATGTTGTTGCGGAGCTGTAAAATATAGAGTGCAGGCAGGTGCCATTGATTCCCATACGTGAACCAAACTAAGAAAAAGCGGGGTTTGTTTATATATTGCTCAGGCAAAAGACTGGGTTGGGTAATGGAGAGGTTTCAGCTATGTACCAAAGCTCAAGTACATACGCCATTTATTAGTACAATTATGTATGTTAGAATACCGAATTAAAAAATATTGAAATGACTTTAAAGCGTGTAACAGTGTCACTGTCTTTAAAGTTTTATTCATTTTTATTATGCAAAATGGTTACAAGTGATAAACTTTAATAATACAAAAAGTCTAGTGATTGACAGCGTTTTGCACTAACAAAATCAATCCGTTGAGCACTCACTGAAATATGGTAAGATTATTAAACTTTTATAAAAAAATTTTGCAACAAAACGATATAAAAGAAAACTAGGAGAATATTGAGAAAGGAAAAAAAGATTATTGCTTTTTGTTTTATTGTGTATTCTGTTGTTTCGATGGATACCGTTGTGTTTGTTTTAATTAGTTATGACTTTTCTTTAATTTTCAATATGGGATTGTGTCTAATATTTCTTTTATTAGAAAATATCCAACAAGCCCTGACTACTTTCAAATTATTCTAAATTTTCGATAATCTTGAAAATCTATTACATAAATGAAAGTGTCTTTTGATTGAACCTTCATTTAGTGAAAACATGTTAAAGTTAACCGAAATTGCATGGTAAACTATATTTTAAACCAAATATTTTATTTGGTTAACCAAACACATCCACAAAATGATTTTAACACCAATGAATGCATAGTATCATCGACGCTTTTATCACTGTGTGTCTACATCCTCTTTTCGTGAATGCTGTTAGAGCTAAGCTCTTGAACTCCTAAAAGTGGCAAAACTACACACTTACATAGGTAGATCCTATCAAGAATACCCCCGTAATTAAAGCATTATAACAAATTTGTGTTATGGGTTTATTAAGGGTATATAACTTATCCCTTCCTTAATATTATGGGTACCTAGCACTTTACTTGGAATGGAATATAATATATTATATTATAGTGCTAGCAACCACATACAAATGGTGTACTTTGTCTCATAACTCAAGACTTGACGTTATACCAAGCATTGAGTCAAGTTTCCACCATAGGTGAGTTTCAATATATGAGCTTGAGCTACATCCCTGTTGAGGTCTTTATTTACAAGATCTCTAGCAAGACTTTTAACTAAAGGATTCATCAAGTTATCACTTAACCTCACAATAGTTAAAGTGATCACTCCATCTGAAATTTATTGTCGGACATAGCTATATCTTAATCTAATATGTCTAGACTTTCCATTATGCACTTAGCTATATGCTTTTGCTAGAGTTACTTCACTATTACAATGGATAAAAATTGGAGAAATTGGTGTTGGCCACAAAGGTGCACCATAGAGTCAATTTCTTAACCATTCAGCTTCTTTGGTGATAGTAGTCAATGCAATAAATTTGATTGCCATGGTAGAATCTGTTATACATGTTAGTTTTTTGGACTTCTACAAAATGGTACCCTCATCAGGCATGAAGATCCATTCACTTGTGGAAGCATGATCTTCTAAACTTGTAATCAACTAGCGTCCGAATATCCTTCTAGCACTAATAGGTTTCCATTATACCAAAGTATATAATTAATTGTTTTCTTTAAGCATCTTAGTACTCTATTGATGGCTTGCCAATACAAAATACTTGGATTACTTACGTAGCTACTTAACTTTTGTAATAGCAAATGCTATATTTAGGTTTATACACATTGTTCCATACATCAGGTAGTTAATTACTCTTGCATATTGTTATTGACTAACAACCCTACCAACATTAGGGACAAGTTTAGTTTAAGGATCGTGGATGTAGATGTTTTTCGGTTTCCCTCACACCCTCAACAAAAAATATATAACACTATTTATTAAATAATTATACAAATAATTGTAAATAAAAATTAAGTCACAAAAGAATCAAACACGGAAAGTAGAGTGACGCACAATACACTCCATGATTGACCCTTGACCTTTTTCTCAAGCATTTTTACTTGGAAACCTTTTCAATACTACTTAAATAGATAATAAATTATTTATACTACAGACTTACTCGTACGCGTGAATTACATATTATGCATATCATATACAATATTATGTACCAATTTAAGTATCTAGAACAATTCATGTAAATCAAATTAATTAAGGAAAGAAAGCTTATCTGATAATCTGGTGAAAAATTATTTTTCGATTTTCTTTATCAACATCAATCGATCCAATTTCACAAAAATCAGAAGTCAATTCTCTTAGTGTTTCACTTGCAGCAACCATTGATGAAATGCAACAAAAACATGAGATTGTTAGAACACCAAACTGGAAAACACTGAAATGGCTTCAAGGCGTGTAACAGTGTCATTGTGTTTAAGGTTTTATTTGCCCCCATTGATTGTGTGCAAATCACTGTCTTAAGGTTCTATTCACCCCCATTGATTATGTGTAAGAAGATTATATGCAATAAATTTTGAGGATACAATAAATCCTAGTGATTAATGACGTTTTGCACTAACAAAATCAATCCATTAAGTACTCACCGAAGTATGGCAAATTATCAAACTTCCATAAAATTTTTTTACAACAAATCGATATAGAAGAAAACTTGGAGAATACTAAGAAAGGAAGGAGAGATTGTTCCTTGTTGTTTTGTTGTTCCAAAATAGAGTCTTTTTATAGGTATAGGTGTCTATTCCCATCAAACACAATTGTGTTTGTTTTAAACAGTCATGACTGTTGGTTTTTTCCAACAAACATAACTTTTCTTTAATTTTCAATATGGGATTGTGTCCCACATTTATTTTATTTGAAAATATCCAACAATTTGTGCTAATAACAACTTAACTACAACCCAAAAATTTAATCTATTTTGCATGATTTTTTTTAAAGTGATTTTATTAGCATTAGTATCAGTATGCCAATTGAAGTCTTTATATAAAGACTTCTAATGACATCAAACTTGATCTGTGCAACAAATAAAAAAAGCATTAACAAAAAACAAATAGCCTCACTCAAAAACAATTAACAGTATTAGCACTTAACCATGCTAAACTAGGACTTCTATACTTCCTTAATTGGTAAGGACTTAAGACTCTTATCATGAGGTATTAGCAATATTGCATGATAATTATTAATTTAATATGCAAGTCTATCTTTTTTTTTCCTTTGATGGTTTCGAAATAATATTGTGACCAACTAATCAAAATAGAAAAGAAAGGTCTTTTTACCCAAAAAAGGAAAAACGTACAAATTTATTAAATATTATACTAATTTTGAACAATCGATTGAAGTATGCTTCTTTTATACAAAAATTTAATAAAATCATGCTACACAAACATATGATCACAAACTTGCAT